GGACGCCACGCGGGTTCCTTGCTGGGGTCTGTTTATGGAAAAAACCACTGTTGGTGGCGTATTGCATATGGCTATTGGGCTTAAAGGCATTTTTGCCCGCAGCCCAACACCCTAACCCCTAACAAACTTATTCAGCTTCAAAAGAGGGTTTCAGGGTGTTGTGCTGAGGTGTGGGGGATTTGGTTTGATTGAGGTTTAGGCCTGTCCCCGACTTGGGTTTAGGGTAACCCAGACCCATGATTAACACACCCCCTTTCCTTGAATAGGGATTATAAAAGGGATCCGATTATTAAGGCCCCCTCCCCTTAATAGGGATTATGAAAGGGATCCTGTTATTAAGCAATCATGGGTCTACAGTTGCTTGCTTGCTTGCTTCGAGGCTAAGAAGAGTCCGTGTCAGCCGAATTCATTATGCAAGCTCAGAGGAGAGCATCTATGATGCCTCCCCAACATACATCCAAGGCCGCCACCACAGCTAGCTGCCCTTGCCACTGAAACTTGAGAACCGCAACAGCAAGGAGCCCAACAGAATTCCGACTCCTAGCCTGGGTCTACAGTATGATCTTCGTTTCTTTCGGTGAGAGTTATAGTGGAGAAAATGCAATCTGGCCTGGCCCAGCCGCCAAAAATAAATCCAAAGTTTAGGGTTTAGAGTTTAGGGTTTAAGGTTTAGTGTTTAAGGTTTAGGGTTTAGGGTTTAAGGTTCAGGGTTTAAGGTTTAGAGTTTAGGAGCCTGAAATCCTAAACCCTCTCCGAAATCCTAAGCCCTGAACCCTCCTCAGCGCTTCCATCCTAAGACCTAAACGCATGCCCTTGATGTTGAACTTGACAGGTCTCTACTGCTAGGATTATAATAGCTGGTTACGGTTTAAGGCTTAGGGTCAAGAGGACTCAGTACGTAGGTTAATAATGGAGATGACTAGGGCTACTTTATGGCTTACAGGCTTATACAGGCCATTAAACTACTTACTATGTCCCCTGACCCTCCAAGTAGGATATGACGCATTGGGGTTTTATGCAGAGATATGGTTTAGGGTTGAGGAGTAGAGGCGCCTCAGGAAGATTGCATGATAGACATTTCGAGAAACACCCACCTGTGACAGGAAATGTCGGATGTCAGCGACAAGCGCTCGCAATTCTGCATCTGACGGACAATCTTTTTTGCTTTTTTGCTAACTTCGATGTAGTGGGGGCTTAGGCCCCCGTGCTTGGCCTTTGATGTGACCTTTCACCAAGACCTCTTCATGTAGTTTCCGTCTCGATCTGTATGTTTTTGCATTATGAAGGTCATCTTGACCCAAAAAGTTGTTGCAGTGCTAGATCTGGGAGGGCTTCGCACAGGGAACAAGACTGCTTTGGTGGACAGCGGAGTGTTTAACACTTCTTATAGGATCTTTCCCAACAACCCTTGGGGTAACGGTGATGTAGGGTTTTTTCCATCGACAGTAGTCATGCATCCCCCTGCTAGCGCCCGGTTCCCCCTAAACCCTAAACCCAACCTACCCCTCCTAGGTTTTGCTTTGGTTAACCTTCGCCAGCTTTACGTAACCCTGAATTAGTATAGGGAGCATAGTAGGGGGACCCATGAAGTACTGATAGCAACCTGAGAGCATAAGAATGAGTTATGAATGGTAATAGTACTGATACAGGCAACAGTGATAGTACTGGGGCTGCTTGCTTCGTGGCATTTAAAGACCTTAAGCTGAGGTATTACGGTAATGTTATACAGTACATCATCTGGTTTCCTAATTGTGGTAGCTTAGAGTCAGTCCTAGGGCCTGAGCAGGGAAAGGAGCCTGAATCCCTTGCACGAAATGCGGGAGTTCCCAAAGCTTCCTTACCAAGACCGTCCCAGGGTTTCAAGGGGTATATAGGGGTGTGTAGGGCTTATATGGAGTGCGCATGGAGAATATGTCGGCCTGTTACCTCCATGGCCAATTAGTAGAGAATCAAATGAACAATGGAATCTAAGGTTGTATAGGGGTTAGGTCCCTACCAAGACCGGTCTCTAAATAGTTGGTACATTGGCAGGTGCAGAGGATAGTTGGATTCACCTCGAAACGAGGGACCATAAACGCTAAACGTGAAGTATGCCTGTCATGCTACCCCTTTCTATGGAACCCGCTAAACCCTAAACCCTAGATCCTAAACCTAAATCGCTGTAGCCTTACGTATAGGGTATCCCTCCTATGCCGGGTACAGCGGAAGGCTGGATTGAACCTGGGACTGTGCCGTTTGCGTTCTTGGAAAGACAAGCTCTTCTTAGGACTTGGGGTTTAGGTTTTTGGGGGTTTAGGGTGTAGGATAACATCCAGCTGTTTCTAAAGCATTGGCCACACAGAAGGCCGGTGCACAAGTTTGTGAAAATACCCAAATGCTTGATCATAGGCTCCTAGGTTTGGGGTTTAGGATTAGGCTCTTTCTGTGTGCCCTCCCCCTAGTATACATTACTAGAAGAACCTGTGCTGTACCCTCACAGCTCACCCCACCCCTCGCCTTCTGCGGTCCTGTGATTTGGGTTTGGGTGTCCGCCTCACAGTGCGATTAGAATTATTGTGCAATAGTTGTAAGTTTAGTAGTATTAGAGAAGGCAGGTTTAACTCGTACAGGACAACATTTGAAGACTTGCGTGGATCTAATTCCCCGTAAGTAGATTGAATATGGCGTTGGGTATATTAGAATAAGATGCCCATATATCCCATAGTCTATCTACTTCAGGGGGACTATACCCTAAACCCTAGACCCAAAATAGCAGTTTCCATTGTCTTTTCCATGCTCCCAATATAACCCCATATTCTTTCTATTTAAGAGGGACTAGAAATTTAAACAACGACAGCATTGACGAGCATTGCGGCCTCCACCTCCGCATGCACTGTCCATATGGCTGGCTGCACTTTTGGGAGCACAGACCACGACTAGAATTAGGGGTTATAGTAGTTTCCAGTTTCTTTTCCATTATCCCTATATAACCCTAATATATACCCTTTTATAATTATGGTTTATAGTAGTTTCCATTTTCTTAGGGTTTAGGGTTTAGGGTCCTTCAACTGCCTGAGGCGCTGAGAACTAGCACGCACAAAAATTCTCACCTGCACACACCGACGCACACACGCACCGTACCTTAGGCCGTACAGGAAGCCTTTCTGTATCCATATTATCCATGCCCTATAAACCTCGTAAAAAGGGATGGTGTTTCCTGTCTGGGAACTTCCGCACTTCGACTCGGAAGCCCTTATGGGGCTCCGCCAGGGAAGCGGGACCAATGCAACCCAGGGCAACCATCCTTGAGTTCCTTGGGAGATTTGGCAAGACAAGCCCCTATGTTGGCAGTTTTCGCGCAAGAGCCGTTATGATTTTTTGGTTCTTCAGATCCTCTATAGATTCAGAGCTGCGCCTACATCCTCCTTATTAGCCCCACGTATCCTTGGCATTCCTCAGGACTGTATACTGGCAGGTCCCATGTGGGAGATTCTAGCAATGACCCTTAAGAGGGGCCCTTCTCATTCAGCCGTCTCTTTACATTCCCCACGTGCACCTCTACTAAAATCTAATCAATTTCTCAAACAAGTCCTGTAAAAGCCGAACAGAACAGATTTTGCCAGTACTCAAGGGCCAGCAGGAGTATTTCACATCACTGGATCAATGTTAGGGATCCTATATATTTGTTGGGGTATGGGAGTCCTTATATATATGTATATATATATATATTCATATATATATCTATACATATATATTTCTACATATATATATATACAAGAAGGATCATTTTTCTTCATAGGGTAATGTGGGCTAAGATCAGGGGAAGGGATTTGTTGACTTTCCTGCAGGATCGTTGCCCGCCTATTAGTATTGGGCTGGTTTTCAATATTGAGGTCCCTACGCACCCGTAATGCTCAAGCCTAAACCGCCGGCTTTCCGAACCTTTATAACCCTAAACCCTAAACCCACCCTAAACCCTAAACCCTTTAAAACCCTTTGGAGTGAGGGACCTTAATTTTGACCACCGCCCCTGGTTTTGGGGATGGCCAAGCCAACCTCGTTTGCCAGCTGGGTCAAGAAATTGTGGCTGGGGTGTGCTTCTAGATGTGGGTTTTGGGGCTAAGGTTGTGGGGGGGTAGGGGGGTCGCTTAGGGGGTTTAATGTAGTCTGATTAAATTCAGGCAGCTTGTAGTGCGCATTGTGGTTGTTTTATGGACAGGTCTTTTCCCCAACCACCAGCCAGGTTTGGCATAGGGTGGGTGTGGAAATCCAGGGTCATTGCTCTAAGAAAGTAGACCTTCATCCCGTTTCAGGTGCCAAAAACACCCATGTGAAGGCCAGTGAGCCTCATGAGATCTCTACAAACCCCTAAACCATTTGGTCCAGTCCTACCGTCCCGCAGGCCCAAAACGCCAAAAGTTCCTCAGACCACCCAAAGGGCCTCAAACCTTTTAGATTTCCCTGAGGGAAGCACAAACATCTAAACCTTAAGACCCTGAGCCATTAGACCCTAAACCCTTAACCCCGAATCTGTTACACCCCTATTCCACGAACACTTAAAACCTTCTTCAACCTCGAACTGTTAAACCTTTCTAAACCTTACGCCCCTCAACCCCAAGCCGTAGACTCCGTAGACCATCCCTCCACCCGCCTAAGCATCAAAGCCTCAAATCCACGCGCTAAGTCCTGCAATGGATACTTCCAAACATGCGGTCTTCCTCTGTGGGCACTAGCAAGATTTAATCCTGATTCTGGAGTTCCTCACGTTCAGAAACTTGTGAACAGTAGTAACCCTACAAATCCTAAGGCCTCAGCCTGAAAACTTAAACCCCCAAACCATCCTAATTAAAGCCTGGGCCCTAAACTCCAAATCCTGAACCCGAAGTCCTAGATCCCAAGCCCCAACTCCTAAACCGCCTACGTCCAAAACCGTAGATTGGGTTAAATCCTGTGCCCTGAATCCTGAATTCTAAACCCTAAATCCTGAACCCTAAATGCTCTAAGCCGTCGCCGCTGCTGAGTTCCTGCTCCTTCCCCGCGGTCCCCGGCCGCACCGCGAGCGCCTCCCAGGCTCTCTCCATATGTACTGTAGCTGGGCAATTTAAAGCGACCTCACCCGACCACCCCAAATGGTGGTTCATATACGGAATAGTACCAAGATGGCCTTAAATTGGAAACTTTTTTAACATAGATTGCCCTGTTATAGTCTAAATTGCTTCAACGGGGTTCTATAGGGTTATGTAAGGTTTAGGGTTTATAGTCCAAACTCCTTAGAGGGGGTTGCTGAGAGCTTGGGGTTTAGGGTCTAGACTTCTTAAATGAGATTATATAGGGATTATATATATATATACATATATACGTATAGGCGAGTATTATAGGGGTTACTAAGGGGATACTTGGAATTTAGACTATAGCTCATATGAGCTCATATGAGTAGTATTTTATTTGGGGATACTGTGGTATCCAACGTGAAGTAAGATTCTGCCCTCCTGCTGGGTGTAGTATTTTCTATACAGGATTATAATTAATCTTACTTGGTGCACCGTCAGAAATCGCTCATATTTGGCTTATGTACGGGTTATCTACGGTTCCATTCAGGTTAAACTAGGGAGAATCAAAATCAAAAGGGAAAACAGAATGGTAGCTACTAGTGAGAGTTCGGGGTGTAGATTTGAGGCACATTTACGGGTCTCTTGTCGTTGTGGCGTTGGGGTTGGGATATTCTAGTTGTCGCGGGTTTCGCATTTTGGGGGGCGGGCTTTGGGGTTTAGTATAGCTAGAGTCTAGAGGTTTGAGTCGAGGGTTTGCTGCGGGTGGGGTTCAAGCATTTCGACAACCACAATTCGTTGCTTCGCTTTTGAATCTTCAGCCCGTGGTCCCTAAACCCCACCCCTCAAAACCATGGTGCCTAAATGTCACCGGGTTGCCAAGTTTGCCTACACGTGACAAGCACCCGGCTCAAGCCAACCTTTGAACATGGTATTGGGGAGGGGCTAAGCCTGAATCCCTAAGCCCGAAACTCAAATCCCTACCCAATAAGGCCTCAAACTTGGATACTGCACCAGCCCAGCAAAAAATGGAAAATATGTACATAAAGACATATTCATATAGACAATATATATTTAAGAATACCCCATTATAGACTGTTATTGGGTGGGGGCAGTACCCAACCTCAAGCATTACTCCTTAGACTCCTCCACCCTCACTTTGCTGGGCTGCTGTTAGGGAATTTTGCTAAATGCTATAAGAAGAAACCGGTTATTTGTTATATAGTCCCCCTTGAGTGGATAGAATATGGCTTTGGGTATTCTATAATAAGGCCCCAATATACCCCATATTCTGTTTCACGTGGACTCTATACCCAGAATATGGTAGTTTTCATTAAGTTCCTGAACGGCAGCTGCCAGCAGGCGGCGGAAGCCGTCCGGGCCCTCGAAGGCCATGGCTTCTCGAGATGAGGGTGTCGGAGTTAAGGGATTTTTCCTTTCAGATTTATAGAGACCCTAAACCCCTAAACCCTAAACCCTGGATTTAGTGCTTTAGGGTTCAGGCGGCAGGAAGACTAGTGAGGTCCCCCACCTACTACTGGTGACCACAAGGGGCTAATCGTAATCATGCCAGGGTCCCTATATAATCCGACAACAGGACCCTGAACCCTAAAACACCTAGCAACCAGGTGACCGAAAGGTTAGATTCCTTGAAGCACTTCAGGTGGGTAACCTAAATCTGTTGGTTGCTTTTGGGATGGACAACCTGAGCAAACCTGGAATGCAGAACCCAGGGTCACAGCGCAAACGTGCGAGATTACGGGCGACTAGAGGCAATCTAAACCCTAAATGCTTACCCCTAAACCCTAACCCCTAAATCCGAAACCCTAATCCCAGACCTCGTAAACCCAAGTCTCCCCACCCTTTCTCAGCACAGTTGGGGTCGGAAGCCGGAAGCATTAAGGGAGCCTTGCGGACCTCGCCCTTAAAACGTTTCATTTAGACAGGTTGGTGGTCTCTTTGACCGGAGGTCTTGTTCTAGAGGGGGATACGTGGGGCTATATATCTAACAGACCGAAAGACCAGCAGCCTGTTCTGCGTATCAGGCATCAACGTCACTCGGCTTCGTAGTTCCTACGGAAATCCGATGGCCCGTAGTCGCCCATTTCATCAAGATAGACCCTAGAGGAGCCAAATAGCCCAACATAGGAAGATTTACCGGCTTCTGGGCCCATGTAGGCATGTTGTTCAGGGGTTTGGGGTTTAGGGGTTTAGGGGTTTAGGGCCTAGGGTTTAGGGGTAGGCCAGAAGCCTTCCACTTAAAACTCCACAAGAAGCGACAAGCCTGTCATTACGAACTCGTGCTTCATCGGGGCTCGGGAGTGCAAGGAGCCCTTACACACCTCCCACTTGGGTACTATAGGGTTTATAAGCATATTATAGTTATCATCCAACTGATGCTGAGGGGGGGGCAGTACCCAACATAGATCTGTATAGTTGCACCTCCATGCCTTTCTCCACTCTGGAGCCCTGAGCCGCAAGCCTAAGAAGAAAACCCCCAGCCCCAAAAACCCGAAATTGCCCTAAGCCCTCGGACCCCTAAATGAGAATCTAATCCCCCAACCCTGCAAGCTATAATTCCTATAGAACCCCTATATATCCCCTATAACCCCATATGATCCCAATAGAACCCCGATATATCCCCTATAACCTTATATATGCCTGCAAAGTCCGCCTGTTTTGAAGGCTTCCTCTGGTCAGCGCAGTCCAGCCTCCCGTGCAAAGCCCCAGCTCAGACATATGCAAATAAGAGAGTTTCTGCATACAAACCATGCGGTTTAGGGTTTAGGGTGTAGCGTTTAGGGAAGTTCCTAATAAGGACCCCTGAGATTCCCTTCAGACTCCCCATCCATTTTCAGGGTCCCAGTGTACAGTTTGGGATTTTCTTTGGGGTTAGGGTTTAGGGTTTAGAGCTTGATGGTTATTACGACCTGCGTGGAAGTCTCTAAATAATTAGGGTTGCAGAAGATGAGGAATCTTATTTATGGTGACCATCTCTGATTATTCAAGGAATTTCCGGTGTGTAGCTTCACCTATAAAGCCTCGCATATCTTGGGTCATTCCGCCTCCCGGTAATTGTCCTTAAAGGGCCGTATTGTGGTATCAACCTAGCCGTCTTCCCATACATAGTCCCCCTTAAGTAGATAGAATATGGGGTATATGGGGATCTTATTATAATATACACAAAGCCATATTCTATCTACTTAAGGAGGACTATAAGCTGTATGTTAGGTTGTAAGGTTACCGCCCGGCAACTCCCCACCGGATAGTTTTTCTTCAGATTAGGATGGAGCCTTTAGTTTACGGAGGTAGAGTCCAAGACTTCATTAGGTTCGGGGTTTGGGATGTAGGAGTCTGGGACTCAGGGCTTTGGGATTCCGGTTCAGGATTTATGATGGAGGACTATCTTTTAGGATTTCTTAGAGGGGCCTCTTGAGGTGTTTGAGGTGGTTCTCCTGTTGTGACTAGCACCGCTACTCAGCGACAGCTCCTCCTCTTCCTCCTCCTCTTCTCCCTGCTGCTCATCTGGTCAGCAGTTCCGTCCATGCTCCACGCACGCCTTTCCGAGCCCGAAGACAGGGACCCTTTGGGTGTCTATGCAATGGCGCCAATTTCCTATTCCTGGATCATCCACAAACCAGGGGTAAGATCATGATCCCCAATTTTAAAAGACATGGCAAATACAGTAGCATTGCATTTTAGAGGGCAGTTTGTTACGAGGCGGGTGGGGGTTTGTTGCTCAGGGAAGGAGTTGTAACGGGACTGCAAGCCCAATCGTATATGGGGGGGGGCTTCCAAAAACTGTGCCTTTTTCCATGATTACTGCAATGCGCATTCTAGCAGATTCTAGCATATTCAAGTTTATATTGGAGCCCGCTTTAAAGGAAACCTCCCATTTGTTCAACCCCGAACCTAAACCCTGAACCATGAAAGCGACAAGGACCCAACTCGACGGGCAAGGGAAAGCCTGCTGCAGAGAAGCCAGGCAGGATGAGATCCAGTAGGGATTTAGATTTTAAGGTTTGAGGTTTAGGGATTTAGGGATTTAAGGTTTAGGAATTTGGGGTTTAAGGTTTAGGGTTTAGGGGTTAGGGTTTGAGGTTTAAGGTGTAGGGATTTAGTCTTTAAGGTTTAGGGTTCAGGGTTCAGGGTTGATGGGATGAGGGGATTAAACAGGGATTTGGGCGGCAAAATCCTGGAGGTGGAGGATTTGTCAGCTGTCTTGGACGCCTACATAAACCGCGAGCCCTAGACCCTTACACTCCTCCAAGCCCATGAGGTTTCCAGCTTTCTGGGAGTTCATGTTCGACAGCTTTTTACCCTAAACTCCCATCCCTAGTATTCCGCATCTGCAAGCCGGACATGCAAAGCAGCACAACACAACATGCTCCTTTGTACTCATTGTTCCGATCAGAATTGAGCGTAGGAAGTGGATGCAAAGCGTGAACATAGCCTTCCTTTCGGTCGTATATGGCTTTTGATGCATTTTTCACCAAACCCCATGTTTTACAAAACGTCAGAGAAGAAAAGTGCTTTCGGCTCATATCGCCCAAGCCCTGAACCCCAAACTCCTAAACCCTGAGCCGCAAACCCCTAAACCCTGAACCCCAAACCCCTCAACCCTGAACATCCCTGACCCCTAAGCACACAATCCTGGCCAGTTCCAACAGAGCTCTTCGTCGAGGCTGCGGGCGTTTTCGGCCTGTCGTGGGAATGGCTGAGGGTTTAGGGTTGAGGAAACCCGAAACCCCAAACCGAGGGTTTAGGTTATGGCTTGAACACTTACGAATATCATGCTCTTGGGTTCCTTGTACACTTGTGGG